GGGAGGGAAATCATCCTTCAATCCCGCGCCTTTCGCCTTGTTCGGGACCTACCTTGTCGAACAATGCACCGTGAATCATAATTTGAACCAGTTAGGCGATCCATTGATGGTTCTAAGCTCGGGCCATGCGGATACCGATTGTCCTTGGTGATTGCCCCACCACAGGCAGGTACCAACTCCCTCTCTTTCCTTCCTCTCCTGCTGTCCTGGCTGTGAAAAAGAGTGTAGGTACGCTCGCTCTTCGCTTCACTATAGAAAGTTTGGTCCATATAACGGAGATAGCGGGGGTCGAAATCTCGGGACGGAATGGGGAGGATTCAAAAAGTTTGAACAGCGATCCCTATGTGGGTATCTTTCTATCTTTTCCGTAAACCATTGATCTGTAGCAGCGTGGTTGCATATATGAAACTAGATTTTGTGTGAGGAAGCTCTTTGTAGGAATGGTGTTACCAGGGTGGGTGATGGGCCGAGAGTGAAAAGTATGATGATCAGTTGAAGTGGCTGATAGGCTCGTCAAGAAACTCACCTGGGATAGGCGGCTTTCGTGAGGATGGTTTTTAGGCTCCGTCTGGAAGCCGCCCAAATCATGGTGCAACGCCCCACACCACAATCCTGGTCACAATTTGACACGATTGGGATTTGGCAGATTTTTGACTGTTTGGGTACACTATGGGCCAATGGGCTCGGGGATCATGATTTAGTAAGTTCTACCTTTTCTCTATTTACTTCAAATTGTATCTGCGTTGTAACGGGTACGCCCCACTAAAATCCACACCACAACCATCTATAAAACTCCATCCAAGGTGACTGTTTGGATCCCCCAAACCACAATCTGGTCTGATCCCAATCTGTACCACCCAAAATACAATTGATGGGGATTGCGGTTGCAACGCTGCCATTTCTCCAGACAGAGCCTTAAGGGTTTAAGGCCTCGGCCACACTCCTTTTCCTCACCCTTCCAAGAGAAGTTTCTTCTTGGCAAGCGAGTGATACATCATGACGCTAAATCTACCTTACCTAAACCCATCATATGGAATTTTCATTGTCCTTGATCGCCGTAGTATTGCGGTTGGAGAAGCACATTGAGGGGGAGAATAATGGGATATATTGAGTTTCTTCCGCCTCGAAGGAGGTCGGCCTCAAGTCTTTGGCTGTGGGTGGGTACGGTGACATATATATTGCAACATTCATGGCGTAAGAAATTTGAAGACCTCTTTAACAGTATTAGTTATGCTCCTACCATCAGGGCTGAGTTAGGAGGGCATGCAATTATCTCCAATATTCTTGACAGAGTGGGGGGCGCTGTTCATCGAGATACATCGATATCACTTGGGGTTATACCTCGGGGTATCTCGTGCCCATTACTGCGCACGAGGCCTCTTATAAACGGGGATATCAGCTGTAATCGCATGGCTGAGTGCGAGCTCGTGGCTTCAGCGCGATGCTCACAGAAGGCTCTGATCGATGACCCATTATCTTCTCTAATAATATTAGTTCTCTCATAGGAGTAGACTGGGATACTTTAATTTTAGTTTATGTGTACCCGAAACTCGTAAAAAATAGGCTGTGATCTTTCTTACTCTTGTTGAGCGGCTACAGGGCCATCGGAGCTCGGAGGGAGTCGTTGAGGTATGTTTATACTCGTGGGTAAGGCTGTTTTGGAGAAATAGTTGATGTGGTTCGTATATTACGCTATCCTGAACCCCCCAGAAAACATGGATAGTAGGAAAGTGACAGGTCTAGCCTCAAGTCCTCGCTTTAGCACAGTGTTTATAGATCCAGACATAAAGGTGCCAGCAGCTACGCCAGTACCAAATATCTTGCTTTGTACTATGTGTAGGCATCGTATGCAAAAAAAAAAAGAAAGAAAAAAGAAAAAAGAAAAACAGGACCGAGACTTTCGAGTGAGACGGCAACCAAGCGGTGGACCTAAGGTAGCCTTTCCTTAGACAATATATATGACGAAATACAGAATTAAAGCCCAGCTCATTACTAGGCTATTTTGTTATCAAGGGCCAAATATCCACACAATATCCGCAGCCCGTAACAAACAAAGAGGATATGAGGAAGGCGGGATATCAAGCGTTGAAGACACCGAGTGATACTTCATGACTGCAATTCACATCAGTACTAGTCCAGCTATCTCGAATCCACAAATCCACCCTCTGTGGTAATATTGAAAGAAAGTGAAGCTGAGAGGTAGGGAAAGTGGGGGCGCAGGAACAGGAATAGAAGAAAGGGAGAGCCTGGGGCTGGGCATAGAGAGACTGGGTTGAGGTAAATTTATATATATGGCCCTGACCAGCTGGTAAACTTTAAGTGTGTTTGTGGATTCTGGCCCGTCTATACGTGCGGTTACTTTGTAACTATCTGCACACACATAGTATAGCTACATATACGGGTGTCTGCGGAAAGAAGCGCAGAGCTTGGTTGGAGATCTGTTCGCACATATCACGAATAGTCTTCAACCCCGGCCCAGCGCGCGAAATGGGCAATGCAAACAAAGCCTTATAAAATATTCAACTCATTCTCACCTACGAACAACAACCTAAAGCCTCTAGCCCTAGTTAGATACCCCCGACGAAGTGTAAGAAGCCGGCGAGATACTCCGAGTGATATCTCATGATTCCGGGCACCAACATACAGTCATTCAAACTCCTTCACTTTCCCGCCTACTCTACTATATCATACCAAAACGTTAAGAGCTAGTGCATACTGAAAATAAAAACCGGCCAGTATAAAAGTAGAGGAGCTCCTCTACACCACGCCCGGCGACGCCGAGAGGTCTATGTCGAAAGGCCGGGCCGGGAGAGACTTCCAGTATATGCGCTACTCTATAAGCCGGCGGATGGACACACTGCGCGGTAAAATTTATGCGCAGGTGCGGGTCGAGCCAGCAGCTGCGGACGGTCCGGTCAGTCGGTGGTCGGTCGGCGGGTTGTAGGGTCTGCAACATTGCGTTCGCTGCCGTATGAAGCTCCGGGTCTCTCGCGCGCATTCACGTCTGTCGGCCAGGGCTTGATATACCGGTGCACGGAGATCTAGAGAGCGAGTACATGTATGTAGCGGGTGAGTGATGGGCGAGAGGTAGGAGTGTTGATGGTCGACGCAGCGCAGAGGCAGGCGTGCCAGGCGAGACCGAGTATGCGCGCAGCGGACGACGACGAAGCCCATGTAGGCAGAAAGCTTGAAAGAGTGACTCAAGAACAGAAAGTCTCTAATTGTGTCGATACGTCGTTACCCGCAATAGCATCACACGATCTCACTCGCCGCAAACCCCGAGTTCGGGTTCGGGTGCAAGACCCGATGAGCCAGCAGCCACTCGACGTCTCCGAGTGTGCACACACGTAACCCACCCAAGCCATAACATACGCCCGCCCGCCCATGTTGACACCGCCCCGCCAAGACCCCACCACGAAAACCCGTCATCTCGATCATTGGCCAGCCCACGACACGAAGGCTGTAACCACACCACACCACGCACCACGCACCACCCCGTAATCCACGACCACAACTACAACCGCAGCCCATAAGCACAACACTCAACCCCTCTTTCTCGCCTTATCGCCCGACCAATCACCCCCCGCGTCCCCTCCGGTGAGGGTCACGTTACCGGTGAGCCACGACTAACGGCCTACCGCCACCTGCGTGCTGCCTGATACATGTGGGCACGTATTGCACCATACCTGCACGCTCGCGGCGAAACAAACCACACGCAGCAACCGTTGCCTTCGCTTGCTCTGTCTACTCTGCCTAGTCTTACCGAGACGAAAGCTTAACCTTGATTTCTGTCTGAAACCCTTCCAGCGACGCTCTGAAACGTCGGTAGACGTCCCCCTCGCCCCCCTCGACGTTTTGTACCCGGGGTAGAACGAGGGTAAAGGGTGGCCTTATAAAGGTACCGGCGCCCCGGGAGTAAGAAAAAAGGGGAAAGGGAAAGTCTTGACATGTCATGGATGGGTGGGTTGATTTCTATAGATTTTATCTGCCCACCTGCCTGCCCCCCTGATCAACCCCCGACATCGACCGTGACCGTGACCGTGGCCGTGGCCATGACCGTGGAGGTCCGGCTGTTTCTGTTCATCTGGACTACATGTGCCGGTGCGGGGGAGATTGAGATGGTCTGTCCGATCGATGGTGAATATAAATTAGATCCAGATAACGTCCGGTCAACCAGACCAGACCACCAGGGACAGGCCTCAGAAGGGGCCGCCCGGTATGCAGATAGATAGTAGAGTACATGCAGAGAGATAAAGGAAAATAGTACAGAGAGAGTGTATAGCTTGGTAACTAAGGGGGTAATATGGTATAATGATGATGATGCAGATGAATAAAAGAAATTGTAAAGAAAAATGCTAACAAATGATTGTCTGGCCGGTGGAGAGGCGACAAGAAATAACAACAAAGGGAAAGCCTCAATCCCCTCTTCGGAAAATTCACAAAAGAAAAATGCAGTAATCAAAAATGAAAAAAAAAGTATAGAGATCTCCCGAGTAAATTGAATCCTCTAGCGCCTAGCCATTGAATCTTGGCAGTCTGCTGTAGTCGTTATTGGCAGTGCCCTTGCAAGCTACCCATAACAACAAGAGCTGCCATCAGGGTATCCCGTTTTTTTTTTTTTTTTTTGTTTGGTTTTTTGATCCTTTTTTTATATCCCCTTTTTGGCACAAATACCACTCCCGGAACCATTGCACGAGTAGTGCAACGATATATCGCAGGGCGCTCCGGGAGAGGTGTGGTAATGCAACCCCAGCCCAGCCCAACCCAACCAACCCACCAGTATAAACCCCCAAAATTACAACCAAAGTAAAAACTCCAACCCAATTCCAGGCCGCCCTAATCCAAACACCATCCCTCTTCGGTACAGAGCGGATTGAAAAGAAAAAAACAAAAACAGAAAAACACAAAAGAAAACCAGATATGATAGAGTCGAATAATCCGATGAAACAGGGGGTATAGCTAAGCTAGACGTATGCGGCAAATATGCGATTTGAATATCCCTACGAGAAAAACACAGCTCGGGGATCTAAAAGAGAACTTGTTAGCCATGCTCTGAGATATACCAACTGAAATGCCTAGCTAGAATCGCACGAATTGGACAGAGAAGAGGGCCGGGAATTTGGACAGAAAGCGGATCCGATTTCTGCATGTCTTACTGGTTGCATGACCCAACCATTTCTGTCCAAATTGCCCGAAACCTCAAACCTCGTGTAATTCTATTTTTGGCAAAAATAAAGAGTTTTGTGTGGTGCTTACCCATGGGCCTGCCGTCAGGAGCTATTCCATTCTTTGCGAGCTTTTGCACCATGTATAGCTGGCGGGCTTCATCAAAGTTGACTTTCTGGCTCCTCATGATTTTGAGGATTTCTTTCTTGGAGGCGACGTCTAGACCGGCACGCGAATCGCCGTCCTGGACATTGCCGGCGAGACTGAAGGCATCGGAACTACATAGAATTAGTATCAACTTCTGAATATCATCAAGACGCGGCATTGGGAGCTAGTATAGCTAGCTAGCTGTCCAGAGCTATCGCTTACCTCAATCCGGCCTCGATATCGCCCTCAAACGACGAGCTTAGACGGTGGTATGCATTCTCGGGAATGATATTTGAGAGAAACGGTAACCAACGAGAACGAGTAATATAGAGGCCTATTGGTGACGCAGGGGGAGAAGCAGAAGGGGAAGCAGAAGAAGAGTTAGGCTGCGATTGCATTGAATATTGTTGCGCAGAACGAACGGGGGATGGAGGCGGCGACGACATACCGGTTGAGATCACCATTAAGAAGATGGCCCACGACCAGAGGATGTAGTTGTCTGTCAAGATGGCCATGACGAGAGGGGGGGGTGTGCGGATGTTATGTATGTTGTGGTTTACCTGCACCTTATTTTTTACTATTGATTCCAAGTTTAGACTTGTATGTTCTTTCTCGGTATGGCTTTAGGGAGAAGCCCTTTCTTTGGAACGAACGGGTTTCTAGGCTCGGGGTAGCTGTATGCAGATGTAGGTAGCTGTGTGGAGAGGAATCGATATGCGGGGGGTAAGCGGAGGGGGAAAGGCGAGACAAAAGAAAACAAGGAATGAGTGGAATCTAGCAGAGCGGCAGTTTTAGGATGTGACAAAAGGGAAATGGATGTGCTGTTTGGCGTTTTTTCACTGCCAAAGTGGAAAAGAGCTGATAGAGATCTTGGTTTGCAAAGGAGGAACAGTTTTGGGGAGGAAAGGATCATCAAGAACTTAACGCCAGGCGGTTGATCCGGAACCGTCAATGGAAATAGAAACGCATGACGGGGGATGTTTGGGGTGCCTTTACTTGGCTGTGGCGGTGTTTTAGAAATCACTGGGTACGGTTACAGGTTACTCCACATAGTAAGATGGAGGAGTGGTGTGTGTTTCGCGCGCGCCCGGGAGCTTGGTGGATCGTAGGCGGATTGGCCGGGGGTGATTAAAAGTAGGCGTCGTCATGTAAGTCATGCGGCTTAGGTGCAGGAGTCAGTGCGGTAAACAAAGCCTATTGTCTAAGTCTGGCGGTAACTTGTGTAACTTACAGAACGCTGCATGCCAGAAAAGGGAGAGGCATCTGCAAACAGAAAGGGTTCATTCCAGACTTGACTAGCGTCTAGAAATAGAGACGAGAGTCTGGCCACAGGGGTGACGGGAAGCGATGATTCTTGCTTTCTAGAACGTCAATCGTCAAAAGAACCCTGGCCTGATAAAGTCGTAGGGCGGCTGATGCATGGGGTTTGGGGCTTGGGGCTAGGTCGTCGGAAACCCTGGTTACCGTCACGGATTGCCCACAAACCCAAACCGTTACGCCAGTTGACCAAAAGTTTCACCCCCCCAACATTACAAAGACCACCCACCATTTCGACGCCGTCAATATCGCTTTTTAGGTCAGTAATGCCATTCTCAATCCCGTCGTCATTCGAGTCTAGTTCTGCTGGAATTTTGTGCCTTTGTGTTTCGCTCTTTTGGGCGAAATATTGAAGAGTCTGGGAGTTTTGGAGTTTTAGGGTTTTGGAGATATTGGATGGAGGAGATGTACCTCAAAAAGAATGAAAGCTTAATTAAAAGGGGTTTACTAAATACATAGCTCCCACAGGAACCCTCCCACATCACACAAATCACCAAACTTCACAATGTCGAACGTTGTCGTCAATGTCTCCTCTGACCTTTTGTGGGCCATCACCAGGAACAACTCCTCCTACATCGTCAAGCGTGGTGTTGGAAATGAGCGGGCCATCTTCTCCAAGGAGCCTTTGAACTTGACCAACAAGCACTCTCGCAAGGTATTTTTCCGAGATAGATAGGCCCTCGAGTCGATTGCTGACTTAGTAATAGTACTCCGGGCTTGTCAATGAGAAGGTTGGAATTTCTCTACATCACGTGCTCTGTGCACTAATCAGGGCTATTAATTAACGAGTGATTTTCTGTGGATAGGCTGTTGGCGTTCAGGCTAACGAGAATGGCGGTGTCACTTGTATGTTTAAGTTCTGAAATGGAGGAAGAAAGAGAGGGGGGGGGGGGGGGTACCTCACGATATAAGCCACTAACATGGACCACAGTGATCACCAAGAAGAGCCACGAGAAGTACGGCTCAAAGCCCGCCTCCCTCTACGACACCACCGCGTTCTCAAAGAACAAGTCCCAGCGCAAGTAGGTTTACGGAGAAATGATTGACCGGGGGAGGGCCAATGATAGGTTGGGTTAGCTGACAAATCGATCACTCAAGGACCTACGTTGCGATTGTCAACCGTGTCGCTAAGAAGTACTACCGGTAAGTTATGATTCTGATATTTGATATTCGGTATCTTTCGGATGGCTTGCTGACTTGATGTTTTCACTTCAATTAGACCCGACCTCCGCCAGGCATGTTATTCCTGTTTCCCTTAACTCCCGTACTTACCCGATAGCCGATCCTAACAACCGAAACAGGAGGCTGTTGCTCGTGCCAGTGCCATCATGAGGTCGCAGAGACCCGTCAAGCCCACCCCTGCCAGCAAGCCGAGAGGTGTCAAGGCCAAGGCCGCCGCCGAGAAGGCTTAGATAAAATAAACGGTTTTGTATGGAGAGTGGGGGTCTCTAAGCATTTTTTTTTCTCCTGTAGTGAAAATAAATGAAAAACTTTACTTTTTTCTTTTCTTTTTCTTTTCGTCTGCATACGGTACTGGAATAATTGCCCAGCTATCAGGCACTAAGCCATCTATCCGATTTGAGAAGCAAAAATAACTCTGGAGTAACCCACGTGTAAGGCAAAGAGGTTAAGCGCATGGAATTGTAGTAAATGGCTTTTCTCACGATTTTCTCCGAGCGAACCACTCGGTACAATGCTTGTGCGACCGTAGTTCGGCCCGCGGTAGACATCCCCGCAATTATCCGAGGCGGAGCTTCGGCCGGCGAATTTGTAGAATCCAATACGTGAATCGTTTTTGCGAAAGGTAGGGATGTAGGGAGATGTAAGTGTGAAATCCACAGCGTGGGGTACATCTGGCTACGATGAAGATGAAGGACTCGATGAGGAGTGCATGTGTTCGTATGTAGCCGGGACCCCCGCTGCTGCGGGATTTGCAACGTCAACCCAACCCCACCATGACCCCACCAAATACATAAAACATCAATTGATCCTGCTCATCCCCTTTCAAAGTTCTCTCTAATCTTCACTCACTCGTCCACTACTTAAGAGATTACTTGGAACTTCATTACTTGACACTACGACTTTATTTCCTCCTCCTTATTATCCCGACACCGTAATCAAAATGGTCAAAGCTGGTAAGAAGCCTATGAGGACTCCTTTATTTGGTTTAGTCGTTATTATTCTTGCTAACACAGGATGTAATAGTTGTTCTTGGTGCTTCCGGTGGAATCGGACAGGTAAACAAAGCACCTCTTGAGGATTTATTTTCGCATACTCTCTAGATTTGTGATGAGAACGGAAACAAAACAAAACAAACAAAATGGAAGAGCTCAGTCATGCTAACGAGGTCCTATAACCATAGCCTCTGTCCCTCCTCCTCAAGGCTAGCCCCCTCATTGACGAATTGTCACTATACGATGTCGTCAACACCCCTGGTGTTGCTGCCGATCTCTCCCACATCTCTTCCCCCGCAGTAGGTACCTCTTTTATCCATATTGTACTGTAATAGTTGAGCTTACATCGATATTTAGCAAATAACTGGATATCTCCCTGCCGATAATGGCCTCGAGAAGACTCTCACTGGTGCCGACATCGTCGTTATTCCTGCTGGAATCCCCCGTAAGTTTGGTCATCTATGTTAACAGGCTTCATGGGCATTAAATATTAACTACTGATAGGCAAGCCTGGAATGACTCGCGATGATCTCTTCAAGATCAACGCCGGAATTGTCCGTGACCTTGTCACCGGCATTGCAAAATTCTGCCCCAAGGCTTTCATTCTGATTATTTCCAACCCTGTCAACTCAACTGTGCCCATTGCCGCAGAGATCCTCAAGGCCCACAAGGTCTTTGACCCCTCCCGTCTCTTCGGTGTAACTACTCTTGATGTTGTTCGTGCTTCAACCTTTACCGCTCAGATCACTGGGGAGAAGGACTCGCGCAAGATCGTAGTACCCGTCATTGGTGGTCACAGTGGAGAGACTATTGTTCCTTTATTGAGCTTGGCCAAACCTCCTTGCGACATTCCCGCTGATAAATTGGATGGACTTGTCCACCGTAAGTTACCCGCCTGGCATCTTATTTTTTCAGGCCTTTCATCTGACAATCTGGTTTTTCAGGTATCCAGTTCGGAGGTGACGAGGTCGTTGCGGCTAAGAACGGTGGTGGTTCAGCCACCCTGTCGATGGCGTTTGCTGGGTTCAGGTGCATGACATCTAGCTGAATGGTTGACTTCTAAGCTAACTTACTTGAAAATAGATTCGCTGAATCGGTGATCAAGGCCCTCAAGGGCGAGAAGGGCATTGTTGAACCCACTTTTGTCTACCTACCTGGTGTCTCTGGTGGTGATGAAGTCAGCAAGTCCCTTGGCGGTGGCATCGACTTCTTCGCTGTCCCTGTTGAGCTCGGAGTACGAATTACCCACCCTTTTATTAATGAAAATAATGCCGTTGGGATGACATACTAACTATTGAATAGCCCCAAGGTGCCGTCAAGGCGACAAACCCCATCCCCCAGATCAACGATAACGAGAAGAAGCTTCTCGAGGTTGCAATCAAGGGACTCAAGGGAAACATTGATAAGGGTGTCGAGTTCGCGAGAGCGGCTGAGCCTGCAAAGTTGTAAACCCTGATAAAAGCTCTTTCCTATCACTCGTTATGCTTAGGTGTGAAGCTAACAATCGGCTTCATGATGTATTTGTAGATAAATATTTTTACCGACTATTTAAAAAGAAAACAAAGAGAAAAAAACAACTGGGGTTAGAATTCAGCGTCGCCAACTGTCGTTCGTGTATACTTGGATTTCCTTTATACCCCTTCAATTGAGACCCAGGTATAAAAGGATCACTGCTATGGGAGGATTCTGAGATAGAAACCCTTTTTTAAGGCTTGTTTGTTGCATAGTATATACCCAGGAAACGGACATGCGTATTTTCAGCAAGATCAATCGGATCAGTTTTTTGTGACCGATATAAGGTGAACTTGATCGGTACTAATCTTGAATTTGACGAACTCCCCCAAACTCCCAGACCGTTCTTCTCCAGTCTGCCCAATGAACAAAAAAAAAATAAAAAAAAAAAAATGTAGGATTATCTCAAATTCACGCCGAGGATATATCAATTTTATAAACCACCGTTTGCTTGTAGCTGGGTGAAAGAGTAGAAACACCATTAAAGCGATATCCCGGAAACTCACACCGCGGATTTAGATATTGTCTCTATCTTGAACGTCGCAGCCGGAAGTTCTGTTGTTTCTGCCTGAACACTCGCATTCACTCCCATATTCGCCAGCGCTCCTCTAACAATACCACAAGGGAACCATAGGAACTACATTCACTCATGATTAGCTCAAAATAAGGAGGAACGATAGATGTATAGTTATACTTACAGGTTGAGCTCTGGCAACAGCATTTCCGCCAGCCTCTGAGCTCATCCGTGCAAAAGGACGGAAAGTATTGTCGGTTAATACATAAACACCCTATACCCCGTTTTGTCAACACCCCTCACCTCCAGATAAAAGCTCTATACACTGATGGGTAGCTTACACGGTGATTTGTCTTTAAGTTGTCGATCTGCTTCCTAAAAACGATAGTCCACAGGTCTTTACAGATGAATTTTATAACATCGAGTGTATCAACCATTCTGGTCCGGTCTCTCGAAAACCTATACATTCTTTTGTTAGTGTTGCAAGAACGAACCAGCTCCCAGCTTCCGAACAAACCTCTCCACGAGCCCTTGTCCAACCCGATACCCTAACGACTCAAGGCGGTAAAACATGGCCTCCCTCTCTTCTTCATCATCCAGCGGCTCATTCGTCACGCTCAACTCATTCGCTAGGCGGTGCGCCAATGGGACAATCTCGATGAGTAAGAGGTCTAAGCACGTCGAGTTTAGAAAAGAGGCATGTGGGTCGGATGCGTTGTATGGGGGCAACGGCGCATCGAAAGACATTATTCCTCTTTCCAGTAGAAATTCGGATGTCCCCAAGGTAACAGGCGGGAGTGGGTGGGAATGGCAAGAGCGTTGATGGATCGGAGGAATCAATGTCCCTTATTAGGAATGTATAGATCGTCAGTCGTTGGGAATACGGGAGGGACAGCAGTGCATCTCCCACGGGAAAGGATGCTTGTATAGCGTTTAAGCGTTGAGCGTGGTGTTTTCAATGAGATTGCAGCTCCAGAGTTCAGTTGTAGCCCCCATGTGGCTGAACAGGGGATTTCAAGCCACTTTTACCTGCATCATCATTTGTCACGTGATACCCAAATAGAACCAAATTCCCTAAGCTAGATGATAGGATATAATTACTGTAGGTACATGTTTGGGCTAGCACAAAAGATCTGAGGCATTTTACGTACACTTAAGCCCTCTTGACCCAGTAGACTATTCATTCGAACTGAAATAAGCTCACGAAAAAAGCACAAAACCATTACTCCGCATAATAGAATTCTTAAAAAAAAAAAAAAAAAAAAAAAAAAACCCTTGGTAAAAACAACACCGATACCCGCGAGAAAAAAAGTTAACATAAGACTAACGGTTTAAGGTTTAGAGAGAGAGAGAGAGAGAGAGAGAGTAAAGGAGGGGCAAGTGATGGCCTCAGACCCGTCAAGCAAGGACCAGAGGTGCATCGGCTAAATGAAGACTAGGATATAGTAAAGTTACTATTAATTGAGAGTAGGATTGAGAACATTGAGCTGCATATCACCGGCTGTCGAGCCCTGGCAACGAATCATAATATGGAACTCCTGGAAGTCTCCCATTGCCAGAATTGATGCTCGCGGGTGCCATGAACGAGGTTGTCCGTTTTGAGGGGTGCAGCTGTTCGTCATCGTCATCGCTCTGCGTAAGATCAATAACGTGAGAAATTGGCCGTTTGCCGCTGCCACTTCTGGTCAGTGGTGACGCTTCCCCAGACGATTGAGCAATAGGCGAAACAGATGAAGGGGCTGCTTCATCCTTGATCTTTGTGACACGACTATCTAATATCTCAATGATCTCATCGCCGTAATTATCATCATCAGAGTCAGGCATTGGCGAATTTGTCGCCGTCGCAGCAATGGACCATCGTCCATCAACGTCAATTGTTACTGATTCCACAGCTTTTGGTGTGTTATTCAAGATGTTGAGGAAATATCTTGAAGAATTAGCAACCTTTGTAAAATAAAAAAGAAGGCAATATAGGGGACATACTGATCAACCACAAGACTCTTCCATCCGATACTTTTGTTACAAGTTGGACAGCTCCATGTCTGTTACTGTTAGCTATCTATCTAGACAAAATGTTGACATCAAGAAAGAGAAGGAAAAATTACCGGAGCTTGCTGCTGCAATTGCAAAAAGGATGTACCATCAAAACATTGGATATGGTTGCAGAATGTACTGCGAACAGGAAGATTGATGCGAAGTGTGGACAGTGGAC